GTCCCCAGAAGGCCCACAACAGGAATCTGGGGGAGGTCTCTTGACGTCTCATTAAAACATTCCGAAGAAAACCCAAGTTCCCGGGAGGGCTCGGCCCCCCTCTCTCTGCTCTGTCCACAAGCAGTTCTCAGCTTGGTGGGGGAGGGAGCGTGGGTGTTTAAGGGCAGGTGGTATAAAAAGCTTCAGCAAATCAATACGAGAAAGATAAATAACTCATAGTAAGATGGGTAATGACTCTGAGCAAGCTCTTAGATGATGGACCATAAACCAATGAAAAGGCCAAAAGCTCACTGATAATTGGCAAATTAAAATGACAAGAGACACTACTTTAACCTATCAGAATAACAACAATATAGAAAGTAATCCTCATACTAACCTATGAGATCAAGGGCATGGGAACAAAGGCCCCCCCTGGTCACTCTGGTGCTAGTGCAAATCGGTAGATTTTTTTTTTAAGATAGCAATTTGGCCACGTCTATAACCCGACTCGATGGCACTTAACAACAACAATTAAAATGGAAAATGTGCTTGTTCTCAGACAATGACAGAATCTAGAAATATTCTACAGGGAAATGGTCATGCAAAGACCAAAGAGGGCATTTCAAGAAACTTCCCTACAAACTGTCTGGAAACATACACACAATTTATGCATTAACAATCTAAATACACATTCCTAAAGGAGCTCTGGTAGCGTAGTGCTTACGAATCGGGCTGTGAATCGCAAGGTGAGCAGTTCGAAACTACCAGCTGTTCCGCGGGAGAAAGATGAGGCTTTCTGCTCCTGTAAAGATTTACAGCCTCAGAAACCCTGTACAGGGTCACTATGGGTCGGAACCGACTCGAAGGCACTTAACAACAACAACAGGGACTGTTTGAAGTCCTGGTGTGGTGCTGTCGGATAAGCACTGGACCACAAGGTTGGTTTGAACCAGCTGCTCCTTGTAAACCCTATACAAGGTCGCTATGAGTCTGAACCACTAGCTAGCACTAACAACCATAACAAGGGTGTATCGAATCTCAGATTACTTGCAGAATGCTAACATAGATCTATATTTATTGATATGAAGACCTCCAAGACACACCTTTGGAGTTCTGGTGTGGTTTTGTAGGCTAAGCATTCAACTACCAGGTAGGTTTGGATAGCATGGTTGGTGGTTCAAATTCACCAGTCACTCCTTGGAAACCCTATATGGGGTAACTGTGAGTCGGAACTGACTTAACAGCACTTAGTAACAACAACAACAACAAGACACACCTTTAAGTGGTGGTAGTGCTAATTGTATGTCACCAAGTCAGTTCCGACTCATAGTGAGCCTGTATAGGGTTTCCGAGGCTGTAAATCTTTATGGGAGCAAACAGCCTCATCTTTCTCCTGCAGAGAGACTGGTAGATTTGAACTGCTGACCTTGTGGCTAACAGTCCAGCTCATAATCCACTTCACTTTAAGTAGAAGAACGCATATGATGAAGCCCTGCCTATAAACTGATACCATTTTTTAAAAACCAACCAGAAAGAAAATAACAGCATAAAACTATTCACTTGATATGCATATAAAGAGTTACCATTTGGCAATACAAAGAAAACTGTCTGGGAGGACATCTTCTACTCCAGTCCGTTACAAATGGTTTTCTTTAGAAGGGGAAATGGGGCTTGGGAGTAGTCAAGGAGGATTTTTGCTTAATCTATATTATTTAGCCCTTTTATAAGAAAGAACATAATCATGTATTAGTTGTGAAATTAAAAATGGGAAAATAAAATTAAAAGCAGAAGGACTTCATGAAAAAAAGAGAAGAGAGCGAAAGAAAAACCCAGGCTAGGCCAGCCCTAGCCCCACCCTGCTTTGGAGGAAGGCGCTTAGTGCAGGAGTCTGAAGACCTGAGTTTAGAACCTGACTCTGCCACAGATTCACTGTGTGGACCTCAGACCCTTGCCTATAGAATAGGTGAGTGAATGAAAGGATGCAAGGAGAAACTTCGTGACAGTTTCTAACTCAGAATCTGGGAGGCATCCATTGTTTAATACGCTGAAGCATATTAAAAGAGTGTGTTGAGTTTGAACTGCCCCTGGAGCAGGCTGGGAGGAACACACATTCCCACACTTGACCCAGAGAGTCACATCTCTGTACGTATGTCGTGCCCCTGGTCTGTGCTTCAGTTTCTCTCACTGCACTTTGCATTCGGCATATGTGCGTGGTGAGGGGGTCCTTTGGAAAAGATCATGCCCAGGATCCCCAACTCATAATCTTTAGGTCCATCTCTTCCTCTGAGTTTCACTCTTCACCCTCCCTTCATACACTCAAGCCTCCCAGCTATTCGCTTGAAGGCACAAGATGAACCAGTCTGGCCACACTCAGTGTCATTCCAGAGATGTCCTTTGCTTTCCCTCCTTGCAACCGTAAGGTCCCTGCAGATGCAAACCTGGTCCTGAGTATGCTAGGCAGGCAGCATACAGGTTTGGTGATAGAGGCTAACAATTGAGGTTGGTGTCTTTGGTGGGGAACAGTGCAGTCCCTGGGCTCAGGAAAGGAAGCTGGCAGGCTGCCAGCCCCTCACTGACTCTAGCTGAACCCAATGGGACCACAGGGCATTGAATGCATACGCAGGCTGCTTCCATACTTGAACGCTATCCTCTAGCCCTGAAGTCAGGAAGGGTCCAGTCTACTTACAGCCTGAGAGTTCAACCACAGATTCCCAAACCAGATGCCTGGACAGTCCCAGCCTCCTTGGCTACCCCTCCTCCTTCCCTAGCCATCAGGGTTAGGCCAGGCACATCCTCTGCATGCACCTTTGCTTCCCCAGAGAGCACTGTGGGGCCCTGGGGACCGCTAGTCCCCACACACAGAGGCACAGAGCTTGACCTCTGAAATAAATAAGTCATATTGGTGTGTGATTTGGCTCAATTGAAAAATGAGGGCAATAACTGGACTTTTCTCTGAGGGCTATTGGGAAGATTAAACTAATTATTATATGTAAAATGCTTCAAACAGCGACTGGTATGTAGAAAGTACTAGTCCACATCTTTCCCCCACGTAGCAGCTGGTAGGTTTGAACCGCTGACCTTCTAGTTAGCAGCCAAGTGCTTTAACTGTATCATCAGGGCTCCTCATAGAAAATATTACAGAAGCATTTATTAAATAAAAGTAAGAAAACAACACTGGGTGCACACGCACTCACAAAAACACACATATGCATATACAACAATGCCGGGATACTTCACGAGCACATGGTGAGCTCACACAATCATACTGTCTCAGATGCATACCCATTGCCTAGAGTTTCTCAGACCCCAGCTATCCAAATCCCTGTCTCCCTGACAGTGACATGTGTGCACATGTATGCACATATGGACCCTGCTAGCTGCTTCTACATGATGGGGGCCACTGGGCTGGCCTGAAGAAAACCAACCCCACTCCTGTCATCCAGTTGATTGGGACTTATTGCAAGCCTACAAAATAAGAGTAGAACTGCTTCACTCCATAGGGTTTCTGAGACTGTGAATCTTTACAGGACCAGACTGCCTCATCTTTCTTCCATGGAGCACTGATGTATTTGCACCCCCAACCTTGTGGCTAGAGTCTCACGCTGGACCTACTGCATCACCAGAGTTCCTGAGAATAGGGTGCAGGAGGTGCTCAGCAAAGCATAGAGCCCTTCTGGGCTGGGTGCTGAGTCTTTCTGAATCTTGGTTTCCTGATCTAGAGGTCCTTGCTTATATGGGAGATGTCTCTGGCTCTGGGAAAACTTTGCTGGGGCCAGCCAGAGTTGTGAGGTCTGGGTACTGATGAGGAGTGGGTATGGAGGAAGGGAACGCCTCTTCTCAGGGACTTTTTTCATACTTTTCTTTTTACAGACGGGAAACTGAAGTGTGAAGCTCAAGGTTACATAGACATCAGCAGACCTAGAGGCATCCCAGAACTCCTGCTTCCCAGGCTGGGACTCTGCCCAGGGCAGGAAGCTGCTGCAGAAGGAGGAGGTTGTCTGTCTGTCTCTCCGGAATAGGCAGATGCCACACCTGGGGCATGTCAGGGGCCTTGAAGTCAGATGCAGACAGCCTTCTCAGGAATGAGCTGGTCCCCCTGAAAACACCCCACCACCACCGCAGATATGGTCTCCAGACCTTGCTACCGGATGAGGAATATTCTAGCCCTCTGCGCTAAGCTTCTGCCTGTCTCTCCAGGAATCTTTACTGTTCTCTGTCCACTCCTCCTGCTCTGAGCTCTCATCTCCACCCCCTTTTGTCTCTGTCACTCTCCTTTTTCTTGTTCTTCGGGCTTCTCTCCATTCTGTCTCTTCATCTCCCTCAGGGTTTCTCTTGTTCTCTACTCTAAGAAGACAGCATTCTCAGGGGGATCTTTCCGCGGGGCTCTTTCTCAGCAAGTTTTTCTGGGAGGGGTGTTTTTGTGAGGTCAGTCTCCTTCAGGAGACCTTCATCCCATCCCTCCTCCAGGCCACACCACACCCACCTCCCGGGGCCAACAGCTTTCACTCCGGGTAAAGCTGTGCATGTGTGCATGTGTGAGAGACAAGAGGCTTCCTTAGTCTGTCTGGATGACTCTTACTTTGGATCCACAGCCCCATGTCCTGGATTGCAAACAAAACTTACAGAAAACAGGCTCCCCCATAGCAAACCTCCATCAAAGCCTAGCCTTCCACTAGATCACACTGTCATCTTCAGAGGACACACAGCCATAGCCACGGTGGTCAGAGACGCAGAGGAGAAAGGAACCCTAACCACAGAGCTCCAGACTTGGGGCCCCATATCCAGGCTTGCCAGAAGGGGAGACCTCAGGAGTGTGGAACCTAACTGTGTAGATACTCCAGGGACAGCAAGTACAGAGGACCCGGGTTCAGAGGGGCCCACCCCCCTCAAAGTTCAGACTACTTTGGGAACCCTAGACTCCATGCTTTGGACCCGCCCCAGGGACCCCAAAGCAATCCCCGCAGCGTCTTCCAGGGCCCGACTCGGCGGGTGTTTGTGTTGGAGTGACGGCGGGGACTTACCAGCGCGTACGCGGAGCTGAGCACCGGGCAGCATAGCAGGAGCGCCAGGCCGGGCGCGATCCGAGCGGCCCCCATCGCCACCGCCTAGGGCCGCGTCCCTCGGGGCAGCCGCCGCCACCGGCCCTGGTGATAGTGGTGGGAGGTGGGGAAGGGGGTGCAGAGCTGCGTCAGGTCGGGTTGCCCCGCCTACGCCCCGGCCTAGGGGACCCCGGCGTCCGGGCGACCCGAGGCCCCGGGGCCCGACGCGGGGTCCATGCGCCAAGGGCGAGCGAACGAGCTAGAGCGAAGGAGGGAAAGAGGGAGGGAGAGGAAGAAGGCAGCCGGAGGCCGGGCGGGCGGCGGGCGGCGGGCGGGCGCCGAGCGCTGCGGAGCGGCCCGTCTGCCTCGGAGCGGAGAAATCACATCCATATGGCCGGGCCCCCCGCCCCCGGCCCGCCCCCCGATCCCCCCGCGCCGCCTTTTCTTTCTTTTTTTTTTTTTTTCTTTTGGGGAACTGGGAGCTGTAGCTTCGCCCCACGCCCAGTGGGGGAGGGGTCGGGGGAGGGGTCGGGGTCGCGGTCTGCGGGGGGCGCATAGGGCTGTTATTTTTAGCTCGGCGGCAGGCCACAGTGAGGGGGGGTCGGGGCGGGGCGGGGCGGGGCGGGGGGCGCGTTTTGAGTCGCGCTGGGTCTTGCAGCTTGAGGATGGGATCCTAAGTTTGCAAAGACGCTGAACCCTCCGGTGTTTGGCCAGTCAGCTCCCGGCTCCTTGGCCGTCCAGACTCCCATTCCCACAGCGGCCGCCTCCCGCACCCTCTCCGCATCTTTGGGCGCCGGAGCCCCGCATGCGCCCGCGCGGCTCGAGCGCGCTTGCAGCCGACCGCTCAGTCTGTCAGTCCATCTCTAGCTTCCCCGGCCTTGGCCTCCTTTCTTCAAGCGGCCCCGAGCTCAGTTTTGGTCACTCCCTCGCTCTCTCCCTCCCCTCCCCCTTCTCTCTCTACGAAAACATTTGCAAGTTTCCAAAAAAGCCACGGATGCGAGAGACTCGGGACTGGCGACTCCACTAGGTTCCGTGGAGGCGCCACCGACTGATACAGAGACAGACCAGCCCGGCAGCCCCGGCCAAGTCTGGAATCATCAAGACCCAACTGCGACCGTTCTCTCCGGCGCCGGCCCCCAGCCCCGACTTACTCTGAGCGCGCCGCCGCGGTCCCCGCCTTGCCATGGATGTCGGGCTCCCCCCGACAGCCTCCCCAGGACAACGCCCAGTCCGCGGCCCCGGGGAGACTTCATGGAGTTCTCGGGAAGCCCCCTCGCGGGCCTGGAACTCCCGTGCCCCACGCCGGCTGCCGCTCCGAGCCGCCCGCTTCGCGCGTCCCTAGCCTCGGCGTCTGCCGTTCCCCCTCCCCCAGCGGCCGGGCGCCGTGATCCTCCCCCGCGCTCTCCCTGGGCCTCTCCCGCTTCCCCCACCTCTCGGCGCCTCTAACAGCGGTTGTGTGCAGGGGCAGAGCGGAGCCCGCGGCCCCCAGCCCCGGGGCAGAGGCCGTGGCCCAGGGTCGAAAAACCGCGGGTGTGATGGGAGTGTTGAGGGAACCGACCAGGGAAGCTCTGACAACCGGGCCCAGGAACGTGGCCGGGGGCGCTGCCCCTAACGCTTCATTCTCTTCTCAGAAGGCAAGACTTTTTTTTTTTTTTTCCTGATTGTTCGGCCCGGGCCGTTGAATAGGAGTCCGTAGCCGCCCAGTAACCCGCACTCCTCCGCCGCATCGCTGTCTGACTGCCCGCTGGGCTCCCGCACAGTCTGGGCAGGGGTCCCTGGGGAGACTGCTCAGCAGCCAGCCTTGAGCCTGTCTGCGCCTCCGCCCTTCTGCCCCGCCCCACCCCTAGTCTATTCTGGAGTCTGTGGGTCCGCAGAGCTCTAGACCAGCTCCCCCCTCTGTCCCTCGTCTCTGGCCTCAAGTCCCTCACCCTTTCCTGTCAGTCCCAGGGTCCCTGTCTCTTCGAGGCTTGACCCCATCCACCCACCCATCCGTGCCCTCTCTCCAGTCTCGCCTCTGGTCCCATCCTGGGCGCCAAGAGACCGCAGACTGTGGGATTCAGTCCGGACCCCGGACTGAATTGGCTCCCGGCCAATTCTACTGTGGACCCTCGGCCAGGAGAGTGGAGGGAGGAGTCTACCCGGCCCGGGCCGACGGGGGCTGGGTTTGCAAGCATTGCCTGGGTATGGGATACTGGAACTCTGAAAGAAGGGGGCCTCGGATCCCAAATCACCATCTCCTGTATCAGATGGTGAACCTGAGGTGTCAGGTGAGGCCGGGGACGCTGAAGGGGAGGTTTTATGGATGGTATGTTGTTAAGTGCCCGTGGTGTCCGTTCCAGCTCATAGCGACCCTGCATAGGGGTTCGAGGAGTTGCTGATGAATTTGAACCGCCGACCTTGTTAGCAGTCCAGTGCTTATCCTACAGCGCCACAGAGGAAGCACATGCGAGTGAGTGGTTGGTCCTAGAAAAGATGGTTTGGGCTGGATGGCAGCTCCTGCTGTCCCTACTTTTACCAGTTGTATGTCCTGGACTCCACTACACTCCCGATGTCTGGGCCTCAGAATCCTCATCGGTTAAATGGAGTTCTAATTAGTTGATTGAAAGGTCCATTTGAACTTTACTATTTAGTGCTCCTTTGGTGGATGTGCAGGCTTGTGGATTCTCAGCCTGTAGAAAGCAAGCTCAGCCTGTAGAAAGCTGTATAAAGCCTTCAAGTATGGTGTCTTCGCTCAATGAATGGGCCTCCAAGATCAAACCCAAAGGCTGCTGAAATCCAGCTGCAGTCCACTTCCTACAGATTCAAGCACACTCATCTTTCACTCACAGCCAGTTGCCAACCACTTTTCAGGTCACACCCCTATTCCATGGCCCACTTACCTCAAATTTCTTGTCCTGGCATTCAAGGACTGTGTATAAAGATGACTGCCCCAGTAGGTAATGTCCAACAGTCTCCAGGCCTCCCCTCTTGATAATTCCCTGCGTCTTTTGTGCCTTTGTCCCTGCAGTTCCCTCCCCAGGATATAAAGGATACCCCTTCTTCCTGTGACCCCACCTTCTCCGTCATTACAGTATTCTGCCCTATGGTTTATGGGCTCCTTGTGAACAGGAATAGGTTCCAGGTGCCCAGAGTGGGCACCAAAGAACCCTCTGGTTTTGGGGTTTTATATTATGATGGTCTCATCTTTAAGTCTCTGTTTCTAAGTGACTCTGATGTAAGTTTTATGGTTCGATGACCACTGCCCAACTCCTTGGTGATGGGAAAATAACATTCATGTAGGGATTGGGGAGACTGGAAGGTAAACTTGGGGTAGATGGGGGGAACCTTTATCAGATCTGATACCAGATAGCTGAAATTGAGAAAAATAATTTTCTTTGGGAGGACCAGGGTGAATTGTGGACAGGGCCACAGAGAAGGGACCTGGTGAGATCCTGGGTCCCTTAAAGGACATTCCCCTACCTGTAACTCATGCTGCTTACCCCAGATTTCCTGCTGGACATTCTACTGTTTTGGGTAGGGCACCAAATCACCCCCAGGCCTCTGGTTAAAATGCCACCATGGGTGTGGGTGTGTCACACATTAACCAGTACACCCCAGCACCTGGTTGAGTAGCCTGCCTTTTTAAACAAGCAGGCCCCAGGGCCTCAGTGTCAGTTTCTGGTCAGTTTCAATGGCATATAGAAAGAGCTGGTTGGTGGGGAGTGGGAAATATAAGTCCTTGTGGGGATTTCCCTCACTGATCCCCAGGTTGGGTCTAGGAGGAAGAGCTGAGCCAGCCACTGGCGCTCAAGGATGAAGCAGGAAATGGACTCTGGCTCTGCCTCTGTTGGTGTGACTGCCCTCGGCGGGCAAGTCTCTGCTGTTGCCACTGCCACTGCATGTAGGCTCTGGCCAAGGTACACAGATCCTGGGGCCAAGGTGGACACCAGACACAAACAGGAAAGACAGAGGTTCAGCTCTCTGAGCTTGGCAGCCCAGGCCCCCAGCCCCAGGTGCTCTGTTGAACCAGTGGTCCTCCTTTGCTTCTGGTTACCATACTTCCCAACACTTTGTTCTAATCCTAGTACCAAATTCTGCCTGAATCCCAAACTCAATACTGATCCTACACTGATAAATAAAGAGCACTGATCCTCAGGCTGGAATCTGATCTCAAACCCCTAACTGAACCCTGACCCTGGGCTAAACCTCCACCCAGATCTCAATTTCAGATGTGTCTCAGGTTCCAGGGCCCTTCTAAGTTTTTTGAGGCAAGGGGCTGGTAGGGGAGTGGATGGCCAGGCCAGAAATGAAGTGAGGTGCCACTTTTACAGCCATTTAGGCTGCTCATAAACACCCCCCACCCGGCTGAGTCATAAGAGGTTCCCTCAGCAGCTGGGTCTGTAGCCCCCTTCCCTTGCAGCAGGAAGCCAGGCTTTCTACCTCTCAGAATGATAAAGGGAGGGAAATGGGGTGCAGGAGACCCACAGACTCTATCCCAGGCAGGGAGCAGTCCCAGAGCAGCTGGGGATGTGGGCTTCCTGTGACTGAGGTCACATGGGCGCAGCCCCTGCCTTGGTAATGTCAGATTCACAAATGTGTGTCTGTGCTGGTACACTTAGCCTCCTGGTACAACTCAGGTATACACACACTCACCCAGTGTGGGTACTACAGCCTTGCCTCTCCCAGCAGTGTTCAGGTCCCGGAGCTCCCCTGGACGCCACTCACCTGGAGGCCTCAAGGCCTTTTAGAGTAGGACCTAGAGCTGGAGGGCAGGCTCAGGTTGGCCAGGAGGAGGCCATGGATGGCCAAAGAACTGCTTCAATGGTTCAGGCAAGGATGTTGCTGATGAGGACGGGAGAAGATCTGAGTCAGGGATTTCACTTGAGAAGGAAAATTAATGATTTTTTATAAAGCCCTACTCTGGCCGAGGACTTTGTCCCAGAGTCCTGGTGGGAGAGGTACAGTCAGGCCAGGGTTTGGGTGTTCTGGTCTGGCAATCTGCCTGCCAGGGACCCTGGGCCAGCTCAGCCCCTCTGTGTGTCCTCCTCAGTGGTCCTCTCTTTGCTCTGTTAGCTTCTATCCAACTAACTCTTCTTCTGTCTGCTGTGTTCCTGCCTCTCCCTTCCAGACTTTTCCACATCTCAGGAATGCCAGGTAACCACCAACCCTGACAAGTGACTTCCTTCAAGTTTCAAGCACCCTCAGAAATCAAGTGGGGGCTAGGGGTGGTCAAACCCATGTCACAGACAGGAAAACTGAGATCTGGGGAGGCTTGCACTCCCAGCACTGGACATCTAGTGATTCCCAGCAGGGAGTTGTTCCATGCTAGTCCTTTTCCTGAACCACTGAAGCCCCACGGCCCCTCAATATCTGGCTCTTCGAACTCCTGTTGTGATGCCAGCCAGGCAGCAGCCTTCTGTGGTGACCCCCAGTGCCAACAGGGGTCAGGGCCATATGTCCTTACAGGTCATGGAGGAAGGGAGCTGTGGACAAGATGACCTTCCTCTGTGGGTCTCTGGAATGAGTTGTGACAGAACCAGGGCTGGCTGCTGAGAGAGAAGATGTGGGCAAACCGGGAGAAAGAGGTCATATAAGATCCCAAATTCCTCACCCCAGGACCCAGTGACCTGGCCAGGGGCTGCCCTTCTGCCTGAGTCCAGCCTGAGCTGGTTTGTGTTTGGAAGTCCTGGACTTGACTTGACGAGGTGTAATGATTCACATGGCAGCTGCCGTTCAGCACATTCCAGCCATAGCCCCCATTGCCCAGCACGTGAGGCGGCTGGCCCAAAACCAACCCCCAGCTACTGGGGCACGTTCCTAGAACCCCTGCCCCAGGGATCACCCCTCCCCAGGACTTTCAGTGGAGGAATGGTCCCTTACACAGATTCCAAAGTCCTTTCTAGTTCATAAGCTAGGCAGGGAGGCGGGGAGCCTGCCAATGACTTGGTTACCAGATGGAAAACCTGAGGTTCAGAGAGCAGATTGTGCTGGTCAAGGGCACATAGTAAGTCCACAGCAAACAGCACTCAGAGAGCCCTTGCCCTTGGTATAGTGTACCCCAGGGTACCAGGGAGTACCCTGGGGTACAGGGTAGGCTATTCTGTGGCCAGGACCTATGTGGGGGGCAGATTTCAGCTTTACAGGGCAATGATAACTGTGTTCAAAGGAGGAAGAACCCCAATCCACTGCCCTCCACCAAGTTTTTCTGCCATCCTGACCCTGACCCACTGGACCTGCTCTGAGCCTGCACACAACCTCCTGCTCTTCCCACTGTTCTCACACTCACTGGCCAGGGAAGCAGTAGGTTGGGGCTCAGAGCCTATTCTTTTCAGACACCTTCCTGATCGTTACCTCAGTTTTCCCATCTGTGGTTAATAGATGA